CTGGCGGGCGGGTCGGCCGCACGAGGGAGGGACCCCAGGCAAGAGCGGCCCCCTGGCAGCAGGTGCTCCGAGGGGGTTCGGAGGAGGGGCAGGAGGGCCCAGAATCGGATCGAGAAGTCGGATCCGCGATCGAAGTGAATCGGATCGGCGGGAATCGGCAGCCGAGTCGGAAAAAAGCGATTCGGAGACAATCTACAGGCTAGTATGTCTCCATTAAAGAATCGGGGTCCAAATCGGAATCCGAAGTCGAATCGAATCGGAATCCGAAGCCATCGGAATCGAATCGAATCGGAGAAATCGAAACGAGCCCCGGAGGGGGGTTTGGATAGGCTACTTCAAGGCGACAAGACAAAACAAGCCTGCATGGGAGAGCATCGGGACCAGAGCCGTCCCCTCCAACAGGGTGGGGGGTGTCTTTCCACGTGTTGACTTCCACGCCCGCCTGCGGGAGGGAGGAGGCAGGAGATGAGAGAAGGGAGAGGGACGGCAGTTCAAGAGCGAGGAGGCGGCGAGGGAGGAGGAGGGGGAACCGATAAGAGGAGAGCGGGGCGGCCCGGGAAAAAGCGAGCAGAGGGGCCGGCGACGACGGAGAGAGGCGGGGAGGGAGGAGGGGCCGAGCTCCCCACGCTCGAGACGCGGGAGGATAGATGCAGCCAGCGGCGAGGGAGAGAGCAAAGGGAGGAGCGAGCGGCGGGAGAGAGCAGGGGGGGGGCGGAGGGCCGAGCTCCACGAGCGAGACGCGGGAGGATGGAGGCAGCCAGCGGCGAGGGAGAGAGAGCAAAGGGGGGAGCGAGCGGCTGGAGAGAGAGCAGGGGGGGAGAGGAGAGCGGCCCGAGAGCTCTCCCGGCCCTGCGTGGGACAGAGGCAGAGCGGGAGGAGCGGCCTCTTCGGGGGGTGGCGGGGGGCGGCACGCCGTGGCTATAGGCCGTGGCCCTGGCGGCGAGGGCTGCAGCCAGCTGAGGCCTCGCGCCGCGGGAGCACGCGCGGCCAGCTCTCCGGAAGCCCCTGGGCCCCAAACCGTTTCTCCACCCCTCGGGGGGCGCACTCTTCGGCGGTGGACAAGCCTCCCTTTCGTAAACCTCCCCTCAGTGAAAACGGCCTGGGGCCGAAACCGACGGACATGGACACGCAAAAATGACGGCCGCGACGCCCTCTCGCGAACCGAAAACGGCCAATTCGCTAATCGACGTGTCAGGGTAGGAGGTCTATCCACCTCCGAACTCTGTGCTTCTGCTGGCGTCCGCTGGCCCCTCCGCCACGGCGGCGGCCACGCTTCACTCGAGACGCCTCGCGCGAGCCGCCCGCCCCTTTGCAATTCTCGCCGGGCGTGCCGGAGATGACCAGACAGCAAGACTCGGACGGCTCCAGCTCTCCCAGGCGCGGCGGGGCCCTCCACTGCGCGAAACGGGGTCCCATGAAGGGCCCCAGGCGGCACGGAAGGCCTGGTGCGCAGGCCAAGCGCGAGCAGCCCCACCTGATCACTGAGCCCGAAAAAGTGTCTGCCACAGCCCCCCCGGTGCTCCCCCGCTGGGCCCGGGGCGGCCTGGGGGAGCGCTGGGGCGGCCCAAGCGCGAGCACCTTCGCGTGGGGGCTTCGGCCCCGTCGGAATGCCGCTCACACCGGGCCGGTCCTCGCAAGACTGACCTCAAGACGACTTCATCGTGGGGCGTCTCGTGCGGGCTGGGGCTGTTTTTTTGGGTGCGAGCCGACACTTTTTGTCGCGCGGCGCGAATCCGCCACCGTGCCCCCATGGGACGTCGGGGCGTGCTGGAGTGGCAAGTGCTGTCTGGTACGGCTTCTGCAATCTTCTAGGGACTTCCCCCCCCCACTCGCCACGCTGTGCCGCCCCCTCCCTCGAGGCCACAACCCCTTCGCAAAATATGGCTCGCTCGCTCTCCCGAGGCCACAACCCCTCGAAACAAAAAAAACACCTGAGTCGCGATCCCGAGGCCGCATTCCCGCGTGAGATGCCATAGATGCGCGCTCCCGAGGCAAAGATGCCTCCAAGACGGCCCAAGATTGCCCCAAGGCGATCCACTTTGGCCTCAGGACGGCCTATCAGGGCTCCAAGACGGCCCCAGAAGCCCTGCGGACCGCCGAGGAAGGCTTCGGCGGGCGAGCATCGGAAAAGACAGTCCGCTGGAGGCACACCGCGGAACGGCCACGATCATCTTTCCCATGTCCGCTTCCCGCCTCGTACTCGGGGTCGACCTCGATGGCGTCCCTTTTCCACTGAGTGGGGGAGAGCGTGCTGAGAACACGCCGCCAAGGGACGTGGAGGTTGGAAGCCCTGTCGTGCTCCGTGACCGTGTGGATGGCACCGTCCGGAGCGGAGCCAGCAGTCCCCGCGGCGGCCTGCACCATCCCACCTGTGCCGACGCTCTCGGTGATCTTCGCGACGATGGCGTTGTTGACCTGCCCGTTGACCGTTGACGCCGATGCTCTGCTGGAGGGCCTCCTGGATGAGCTCCTTCACGCGCTCTTCCGAGCAGGGGGGCGAAGCCATGCCGGCGGGCAGGGCGGGCGGGGGGCGATGGGCCAGCCGCGTTGGGGGGAGCGAGCCGGAGTCGCTGTAGGTCAGCGTGTTTTTCGCGCGCGCGCGCTCTGGGTCTAGAATGTTGCGCGCGCTCCGGTTCGAGCTTGTCGCGCCCAGCCCTTGGTCGGACAAATCCTGCCCACCCCTGGACAGAATGGCTATAAACATATTCACTCTTTGAGGTCCAACAGAGTTTCTTCTTTGTCTTATTATTAATATTATTATTATTGTTGGTATTATTATTGTTATTATTATTATTATTATTCGTCTCCTTATTCTTCTTCTTCTTTGACGCTGGCACCGGACTAGCATCGTGGTGCCTACCGCTTGCGTTTCCTGCGGTTGGGGAGCCAGCGTTGCAGCACGACGTCAGGGAGATCCGTTTTGGGACCTCTGCGAACGAGTGCTCGGAAGGGTACCTAAAGAGATCGGAACCCGAGGGCCAGGTTCGCACTCGATGCCAAGATGAAAACAGCAGCGTGCGAAACCACGGGGCACCCGGGTCATCCGGACAGAGAATGACCGCACGCATGGAGGCGTCCTGGGCAATCGCTTCATTCAGGAACTGCAGAACATGTTTCGAAAGCCCTCTGGGCGGGTGGGCCCATACTGTGTGGCCCCGCAGATCCGCTTCGAAAGCTGAGAGCTCGGGGAAACGCCACTGGGGGCACAATGCTGCGGTTCCCGCCCGATCGGCGAAAAGGTCCAAGGAAAAACGGACGCCGCACCTCATTTCCAATTCCTGGAATAAGGAATCGAGCGGCGTCGCGGAATCGGAGGATCGCGCCAGGTGCGCGCGAAATCGGAGGATCGAGACCCCGCGTCAGCGATGACATTGCTTCTCCCTGGGATGAGCAGCGCAAGCGCCCAGCACTGCGCGGCGCGCTCCGCGGACTCGAAACGGTGTGCTAAGGGTTCCAGGGAAGGTACTCGTCCATAGCGCACGTTCACGTACTTGACTGCAGCGGCATTGTCGAGCCTGAACAGCACGCGCCATCCTCTGAGGAGGAGCGCCTCCCTGACCAGGCATTGCAACGCCACCCAAAGCTCCTTGTAGTTAATCTCCAAGGAGTTCGGCTCGGCCTCCTGTCGGACAAAATCGTCCAGCCAGGTATCCGAAACAACGCGGCTCTCCCAGCATAAGTGATATGACCAGCCGTGCAACTTAGAGGACCCGCACTTAACTACACGGATGGCGCCTCGTCGCGCTAGGTTTTGCCAGTCTGCGTACTCGGGGGACTTGTGCCCACCACATGCTCAGAGGCCCACCGGCAGAGTTCAGGGACCGGATTGGCGGTGTGCACAGGGCGGCACAGACATGCGTTGAGGCAGCTCGACTCAACTCCGACAGGACCACCCGAGGATCGGCGGACCGGCTGGAATTCCACGCTGCGTAGACACCCGCGGCATTGAAATCTGCCCAGAGAGGCTGGAGCTGGCGACGCAGCTGGGGCAGAAGTTCCGCGATGTGGGACGCCAGCCCCGCCGCCGACGCCAACTGCTTACTGCGAAGGGTGCGCTGCTGGTTCGCCTCTAGCACGTCCGAGCATAGCTGGCGACAGCGCGCGGTTCTCCTGGGATACAGTGACAATGAATTCTTGTATGTCGAAAACCCATCCGATCCAAGATTGCCGGCACGACGGCGGACGGATGCCTCCTGGCTTTGCGCTGAAGGGTATGCCGCAGAGCAGGAAGAACCGAGCTGCCTGACACAAGTTTCGCCAAGCAGAGGCCTCATCTGGTGCGGCCCCCAGTAGACCGTCTACGAAGTCCAGCAAATCAGCTCCAGTGTCCAAGCGGTGAATCCTTCGGATTTCCTTGACATTGGTGTCGTTAATGCTGCGCGCGGGCTTCAAGCCAAAAGGAGAATAGTTACACTTGCCGAACTGGCGCCTGCCAGGCGAGTAAAAGCACAGCGCGTAAGAGTCGCCGTTAGACACGCGCCAGTTGAAGAAGCAGTCGTGCAAATCAAGCACGTAAAGCCACGAACCCTTGGACATGCGTGCAACAGCCTGGTCCATTGTACCGTATGATACACTGGCGTCTGGCATGTGTTCACTGACGTGCCCCCGCCTGAGATCGACTGTGAGGCGTGCTTTGAAACGCTCAATCTCGTCGGCGTCCTCATCAAGCTCCGGCCGTAATTTTAGCACGAGGCCGCAAGGATTGACGTTGAGGTTGTCAGGGGGCGGCGTGCAGGCAGGGAAGAAGGAAACCGTGCCAGCTGCTGCGAGGCGCTCCCATTCGCGCTCGGCCCACGGGAGCTGAGATGTCACCGATGGGTGATTCCGAGCGCGTCGCGGGGCGACAAAAGACGCGCCCAGACAGTGTCCGTTTCGCCAAGACTGGAGCAGTGCAGGGTCGGCCCCTTTCTGACGCAAGCAGTCGAAGCGAAGTTTCAGACCAGGTAATTACGCCTTGCCAATCGTGAAGCTGGGAGCTCCCTCGGCGGATTTCCTCCAAC